TTTCTCATTTTTTCATATTAAATCTTTAATATATTTTTGTATTAAATTTTAATGTTAATTAATATACAAATTACATTATTGAGAAGCAATATAAAATGTCTTAATATATTCGGAAACATATTACAATTGATCGTAATGCTGGCTAATTTGAAATATTAAAATGTATGTAAATACATCTCTCACATTTAGTATAATAATATTTCTGATATAATTACGAAAATTAGAATTCGCAAATGAATTAATTATCATTCATAAATTATACATATATATTGTACTCTGCTAACCAAACTTCCAAATATATTACAATCGCATGAATAGTAAATTGTAATAACAGATTTCACCGTGATAAAACACGAAAATTCGAAATACGACAAATGGAAATGTAGAACGAGAAAGCTCGTGATTAATTTGTCATTTATATATTCCGACGGCTACAAACTGTAATTGCACAAGATATATGCAAGTTTTAATAGACTGTATCCAATTCCATAATAAGCGCTCAGAATATGTTTGATAATTGATGGACATAATTAACACCTACAGTACTGATAAGCTAACGGAATATAAATGTTGGTATTTTAATTTATCTTTTAAATAAATCGAAAAAAACAAACGTCATTAAGTATATATCTACCATGTAATATTTTATGTCATTTAAATATATATTTCAAGCAACATTTTTAATTATATTTTATTCTCCTCAATGCAATTATACCTCCAAAATTTACGTAATCCGAATATATCACTACATTAACTTCCTTTTTTTTTTTTATTTAGAAACTCACTTCAGCAATTCACTGTAAAGACTTTGATCTCTTTTGAACTAATTTCTTCTAATTTCAGCTATGATTTTTATGATACATTTCGTCACTCACCGTAGCTTTTTGGCATTTTAGGTCATTGATAATTAATAGTAGAGTTTCAACTTAGGCGTATTAACGTCACACGATTAAGAAGCCGCGGCACCAATGACAATGCTAGGCTCAGAACAACGGCAGTGAAAGATGGTGGACAAAGAAGAGCTGAGAATAACGAAGGCGAAGGCCCCACCACCACCGCTGAATCTCAGTGAAGCGATCGAGGATGAAGTGCTGAACCAAAAGACTGCTAGAAGTGAGTAAAGTACCGCATTTGCCTCATATAAAATGTGTTACGAAGCGTGCAAAGCTGTCTCGATAATCCTAAGTAAAAATGTGAATATATGAGAAGTGAAAAATGAAATTCACGTTCTCCATTTCCCAAGATTTACGGAAAAACCGGAAAAACCACTCATATGTTTAAAATACTGAATTTCTTTTAATTAATTGATTCTTTCACAATTTTCGCTTTCCTCAAATAAAACAAATTTTTTGTTTTTACGATGCAATACTATATAATAATTTATTATATCATCAAAACAGTAGAGGACTTTATTATAAATGAAATAAATATACAAATATATTTATATATTTATTGTTTGATAAACTCCTTAATGCAGAAATGATAATTGTAATATATAATATTATACGAACTTCATTTTAATCACTTTCTTAAGTACACAGATAAGATAAAGATAATTTCTTGAAAGCCGTGTGTGTATTTTTCTCCGCCATGCTTGGTCCGTTTATTTAAAAAAAAAAGCAAGAGAAAAAGAAAGAAAGAGAGAAATTAATAAATATATTTTTGCGTAATTATAAAATTGTTTGCACATTTTTCTGCTTTGCTTTTGTAAACTATACAGTCTATTGACGTGCAGTCGCGTGGAAATAAAAAGATATTTAATTTGCATCGGACATTCGCGAAATCAACCATTCAACTAATTAACGACACAATACACACTCCCGTATTTCATCCCCATTTTTCTTCATTTTACTTCAATTGCATATACGATCGATATCTGTGCGAATCGAAATTTTCCACAAAAACAATGTGCGCTAGGTAACAACAGCAGTGCTACTACGTAACTGTCAAAAATTAAAATAAAAAACCGCAACGCGCACAAACGAATTAATTGAATCCGTATTATTTCGCGTTTCTCGTTTAAGATCTATACTTTCACAAAAACCATTACAAAGTTGAAAAATTAATCCACATACATCTATATTGTATAAAAAATACGATTCAATATATTTTACAAAACCAATATAAAAAAAGTTAAAAAATAGAGAGAGAGAGAGAGAGAGAGAGAGAGAGAGAGATTTATATTACATAGGTATAGAAAAAGTAGTTTGACGTATTTCATAAAAAAAACATTATAAAGAGATCAAAAAACGTTAAGCTGGAAAAGTCAGTTGATGTATTTTTTTTTATATAAAGATTAAAATAAAATTATTTTATAATAATTTTATCTCAAAAATTGATATATTGGATTGTCCGGAAAGTTCATGCCGATTTTGAAGGAAAATTGAAACGCAGAAGATTTAAATTTTTAATTTCATTTATTAAATTTAAATCTTTTGCGGCAGGAATTTTCCGGACAATCCAATAATATTGCAAAATAATTCTTATACTTTAATTATGCAATTATATAAAGGCATTACATTTTATAAATATTATTATGTACATGAATACACATTATTTATTTTACACCTTTTTCTCCATTATGTCAGTTCTTAAAAATGATCTTCTTCTACACGAGGCTGTGATAAAGAACGAAGCGGACACTGTTCGTAAAGTACTTAAGGAGACTGTCGACGTAGATTCCAGAAATAATGTAAGTCATTAAAAACACTTCAAAGAAAAATACACAGAATGCTATTCAATTTAACGTCTACTTTATTTTTGAATTTTTAATTTAGTGTCATTAAGCGCTTCTAATATTATTATTAAAATCTCTCTTAGTATGGTCGCGCTCCGATTCATTGGGCAGCATCTAGAGGAAACACAGAAATTATTGAAATGTTAATACAAGCCAAGTGCGATATCGAAGCGAGAGATAAGGTATGGTATATTTTTTCTTTTTTTTTTTAATTAATCTGTTAAAAAGAGGGAGCGATAGGGTTCACTAAATAACTGTAAATTGAGACAATAAAATAAAATATAAATTCATTCCTCGTAAAAAAGAAAAACTTTTACACGCAAAAATAAAGAGTCTTTAAATTTAATATCGTTGAGTGCTTCCACATAGAAAATTAATGTAAACGTAGGATCTGATAAATGGCTCCTTTTATTACACATTATATGTTAATACATTTTTGGAACGACACTTCTTTCGGAATTTACTCTAGACGACGACCGACTTGATGAAATTCTTCGTCGGACATTAATTTCCCGACTGTTCATTTCTCTTTCAAGTATGGAATGCGACCCTTGCATATGGCCGCCCAGCACGGTCACCGAGATGCGGTGAAGATGCTGATCAATGCTGGAGCAAATGTATCCGCGGTTAACAAGGTAATCGTCCTTTGACAATCGCTTCATTAAACATTTCATATGAAAGTAAATTCAAGCTTTCCCTTGAGATGAAATTTTGGAATGACACTTCGTAAGTGTCGCGATTCTACGAAATTTGTTAAGCATATACGAAACTTGCGCGAAATATTTCGAAAATAATCGCGTGAAGAAAACTTTATTTAGATAACGAGGAAACTTAGTTCAAATAATTTTCAAAAAATATTATCCAACGAAAATTTGCAGAACATGCTGTGCAGGATTAAATCATATGTTAAATTGGAGTTTATTGATCGCGGATATTGTAGAAAAAGGAAATATTGAAACAGAAATCTCACGGAGGTTGTGAAAAAAAGTGAAATAAGTCGCCGGGAAACCGCGGCGGAGTTGAAATCAATAATGTGTCAATATTGATATTGGCATCGGTCTTAAATAATAGGCGAGCGCTTTCATCATGCCCTCTCGGCGCGTCGTATATAGCATTTTATCACGCACGTGCCGATACGAAGAAAATGAGAGACTGAATTATAAGAGAACGGACACACACGAAGGCAACAACGATCCATATTTTTCTTTGCGAATTGAGACAACATTACGGTGTAAAAATCGCAAATTCGCCTTCGCGAAAGTTCTTCTTTTATAACAGCATAAAAATTATTTTTTTCTTTCTGTTTAGAAACAACACACTCTTTTAATGTGCGGCGCTCGTGGCAGCAACGTCGCCGTAGTGGAGTACTTGGCGGATGCAGTGGAATCGTTAAACGGTGAGGCAACTGACTCCACCGGGGCGACTGCTCTTCATCATGCAGCCATCACCGGACATCCGGCGGTAATCACAGCGCTTGCAAACATCCCGCGGATCGTGCTGGACACCACGGACAAGGTAAGCGAAAATATTCCCTCATTTTAGTATATCACTTCTACATGAACACGCTGGTACATTCGCATTACATTTCGCAGAATAAACAATTTAGATATGTAGGAGATTCTTTTTATTCCATCTCTTTCTAACAGAAAATCATATTATTTCGTTGATTTCTGCAGAAACCACGGAAACAAGCTTTCAAAAATTTTACTGTATAAAGATATCGAAGATTCTACGCGACATTAAAAAAACTCAAGAAATCACGGTAACTGCTTCGATAGATTGTATTGTTACTAAACACACACACACACACACACACACACACACACACACACACAC